TTTTTTTTTTTTTTTTTGTTAAATCTAATTACTTCAGTAAAACTGCATTAATTCTTTCTTATAATATAAATAAACATTAAATAAATCTTTTTCTTTTTTTTTGTAAACATTACTAAAACTGTATTTTTTTTTCAAAACTGTATCTGTATTTTTTTGATAAACTGAAGATGACATTAGCTGTGGTTATAAAGTCCACTTTTTCTTTCACAATTTTATAAAACTTATAATCTGTTTTCTATTTTGTTCAATTTGTTTTTCTTTTTTCAAACATAAAGCTGCTTATGTTGCTTTAAATTCCAATAGACATATTTTTAGAAAAAATTCTTCAATACTCTCTAATTTCGTGCATTTATTGTCACTCCACATTTTGCTTTTCTGTTTTCTTTTTCTTTTTCAGTGATTAAATGATCTAAAAAAATGATGAACGACTACAAACTAGAGAAACCAGTTAGAATTTTTGAACTAAAAAATCTGTACAAAAAATGACAAAAACTGAAGTGTAATGATGAAAAAAAAAAAGCACACACATACACACATACACACAGATAAAGAAAAAACTATATTATCAAACTTTATAGACTTTTGTAGAAAAAGTTGCTAAATTTATGCCCATTTTTATACTCAAATTCTACTCTATACTTCGACACTAAAATAATTGAACATAACAGTTGATACTTTCTTTCTTTTTTTGTTTCGACTATGACATCAGATTACTGTGACTATACCGGTCTTGTTTTGAGACAATCCTGTCTTCAGGTTTTCCGAAGTATCATCATCAGCCAAAAAGCTTTTTTTTCCTTCCATTAACTTTTAATCACTGACAACAATGAGTGACGAAGATCAGGTGATGGTATCAGAAGAGGATTTCTCAAAATCAGCTGATGAATTTTCGCATCCACTTGATCCACTGCCATCAACATCCAGTAATCTGTATTCGCAATATTCGTTTTCTGAATGTGAAAATTTATCACCACCAAATTTATCGTCTGCTGCATATTCAAATTTTTTGACCACAACACCATATTCAACACACTGCTCAGCATCGTTCTATCAACTACATGGTCTTTCCACCACTGCCTTACCCGGTACAACATTATCTGTTCCTGAACATCTTATAGCTGTACCAAATTCAGTGTCACGTCATCGTACTGCTGCTACTACTACAAATGGTAGCAGTTTTAGTGTTGTTGGCTGTGACAGTGGCAATGCTGGTGCTGCTGTTGATGTTGGTGGTGATGATGGCGGTGGAGGTGGTAGCGGTGATGGTGGAGGTGGTGGTGGTGCCAGCGGTGGCCTTAGTGCTATTGGTTTTGGTAACGTTGGAGTTAGCAGTAATTGTAATGGTGTCAATAGTGGTAATAGCAATGGCATTTGTGATATTCCAACTGTGCAACAACAACAACAACAACAACAACAACAGCATGTTTTTGCATCAACGATTATGCCATCAGAGTTCATAGGTGGAAATTCGGCTATATGGGATCAGTGGTTATGTTGCTTAGCTACATCGCTTACACCAGCTCAATGGCAAACATATTGGACAAATTACTTGGCTTTATTTGGTACATCTGCATTACCTGCTCATATTGTAAACTTTTTTAATACTGCTGCTCAGATACATTTGCAACAACAAAAACTTTGGATGGATGAACGTCAACGTTATTACGGTTAGTTGAAAACAAAAGAAAAAAAAAACATTTCAATTTTTTTTTAAAGAAACTTTAAAAAAAAAAACTTTCTTGTTGTTTTTTGATATAATAAATTTTAACATCTATAAAAATGTGAAGATTAAAATCTGATTAATTAGTTTGCTGGCGTTTTGCCAACAATGTAATTAACCATATATTACTAATGCTGATTTCTTTTTCATCGTCTTTCATGTTTCCTTTCTCTTCATTTATTTTTTCCTCCACTTTTTTGTTTTCATATACTTATCAAATTTATTAATTTATCAATCATTAATCTAAAATTTTCAAGAAATTTATTTGTAACTTTGTTTGATGTTTTTTGCAAAAAATTTTGAAAGAAAATTTATTTAACCTATAAAGATCGACATTCTGCTCGAATTGCTTTTTTTTTTTACAAAAACAAAAAAAAATGCTTTTTTTTTTCTTTAGCTAATTATAAATGTGATTTTTTTGGGGGGTACGATGTACACTGAGCTATAGATTTTGGTAAATTTGTTTGGTTGTTGTTGGTGGTGGTGGTGGTAGAGGAGGAGGAGGTGTTGCCAATATGTTCAGCACGATTGGGTCAAGAAGAAATTCTTTCTGCTGAACAGGTGCTAAGTTTACTGTCCTTTCTTTCTTTTTTTTTGATGTTTTCTGTGCCTTCTGGTCTTTTGTGAAACTACATTGCTAAATTCCTTTTTTTTTTCTTCTTCTTCTTCTTATTTTTGTCTTTTAGAGTAACAGATAGCCTAATGAAACGTAAACTTCTTGGATTTGTTTCTTTTTCAATTTTTTTTTTGCTTTATTTAAATTGATAAAATGAGTGGTATATATTTTTTTTGTTTTTGCTGATTGGAAATGTTGAGTTTTTTCAATCTTGCTTTAAATTACTGCTTATTTTACACATGCACTTTTGTGGAAAAACATCATTAATCCTTGCTTAGTTATCTGTTATTGACATTTATAAGATTAATATGTGTTGTTGCAGAAGATGTTTTGCTTGATAAACTTTGAACTTTGTTATCAAAAAAAAAAAAATTAGGCTGCTTCAGACAATGGACGGATAGTTTGTTGGTTGGTCAAAGTTGACTGATAAAATTGTTGCCCAAAAACAAGACAGGAAAAAAAAAAACTACAACAGTTTTTACAATACCTTTTTTTTGCACAAAAAAGAACAAAAACAGAAGATTCTCTTGAAGAGCTTTTCTTTTACATAAACTATGTTGCTTATGGACGAATAAATAGAAGCAGACTTAAAACTATCAAAAAAAAAAATCGCTCAACAGTTTTGGTAATCAAATTTTAAATTTTATTCTTTCTTTTTTTTTTTCTGTTTCAATTTACTTTATTTCAAGTTTTAATTTATATTTCTGTTGAAACTCAAATTTATGTTGCATATGTCTGATAGACTGCAGCAGATAATAAAATTG